GATGTTGAACGAAAATGGGAAATCTTTCTAAGCTGATCAACCCTGATCAATAAAAAGATTAGAAGAAAGGGTGCTCAGTGACTGGCAGAAGTACATAAAAATGACAGAAAGGCAGCTGCGAAATTTTGGAACCATCTAAACTCCCTAAGAAATGAAACAAACCTAGTGCAGAGGTTTATAACTACAGCTCAATGTGCTAAGCTAGAAGGGGATGAAGCTATTGAATATATAAGAATAGGGGTAACAGAAAAATTTCAACAAAGAAGTGCCTTATGCACCACAATAGACAAGGATGAATCAAGTGGCGCAATGGCTCCATTATCACAACAAGAGTGGGAAAGGGCTGAGAACAGGGTTCCTAGTAGTACATCAACAGGCCCAGATGGCATCCAAGCCCAGGTATCCAAGCCCACAGAGGTGAAACGGGGACATAGGCAGGGGTGGCCACTGTCACCCTTGTTATTCATGATGTACCTACAAGAATTAGAGGCCAAATTAGAGGGAAGTGGACTTGGCTTCAACCTCTCTTTAGTCAAACAAGAAAAACTCATTGATCAGGCACTACCAGCATTAATGTACGCAGATGATATAGTGCTAATGACATCTGCGGAAATGAGGGAGATAGGTTAGATTTTAGATTCAGTAAAGAAAAATCAGCAGACATGATTTTTAATGATAACGAAGGTAGTGAGCTTAGAATACAGAAGGTCAAGCTAGAGATAACAGATAAATACAAATATCTGGGCGTATAGATAAGCAATGGGACGGAGTACCTAAGGGAACACTAAATATACGACTAGAGGTAACAGGAATGCAGCTGTGATGAAAAAAAGGGCACTGTGGAATTACAATAGGTGTGATGTTGTGAGAGGAATATGGAAAGGGGTCATAGTTCCTGGGCTGACGTTCGGCAATGCGGTCTTGTGCATGAGATCAGAAGTTCAAGCAAGATTAGAAATTAAGCAACGTAGAATAGGTAGGCTTGCTTTAGGATCTCGCGGGAATGCACCAAATCAGGGAGTACAAGGTGATATGGGATGGACATCATTTGAGGGCAGGGAAGCTAGCAGCAAGATAAAATTTGAGAAGCGATTGAGAGAAATGGGGGAGGAGCGTTGGGCTAGGAAGGTTTTCAGCTACTTGTACATGAAGAATGTCGATACAAAATGGAGGACTGGTAAATTCTCAGAAAACAGCAGGTGGCCAAACCAAAAAGAACCATCGGTTAAAAAGAAAGTGAAAGAAACGGAGACTGACATGTGGAGAATTGGCATGATTAAGAAGTCCGCATTAGATATCTATCGAACTTTTAAGCAGGAAATTGCCAAGGAAATGATCTATGATAATACTCGGGGTAGTTCTCTACTGTTTGAGGCCAGGACGGGAGTATTGCGAAACAAGACATATCGGGCCAAATACGAAGGGGTAGACACAGTATGCAGTGCGTGTGGAGAGGAAGAAGAAACTGCCGAACACTTGATAATGTACTGTAAAGGGCTTCACCGTATAGTTCAAGATGATGGCGCAGAGTTTTTCAAAGCACTGAGGTTTAGAGACAGGGAGGGCAAAATAGACATTCAGCGGGTAGAATTAACTAGAAGGAGGTTATCTGATTGCTGGCTACAATCAATGCACGAGTGAAAATTGAATCCTTCACTACAAAGTTCCAGCCCTCAACTTCACTATTTAAAGGAAAAAAACAAAGATAAATCTAATGATTAGTTCACTAAGTATTACGGCTAGGTGGCGTTAGCCGCCACCCAATTTAAAGGGTGCAGCCACATCTATCCATTCATCCATGAGCGGTGAATGCATGGGTTGCCGCCGGTTAGAGAAGAGTTTCATCACGCATTGAGTATACGTGATGGCTATCTTGAATCATTTTATTTCATGTCACTCAGAGAATCTTTTGCATTTTAGTTGACATTTCAGTGCATTATTTTTCAAATAAAATTGCAAATCAAGTACAAACATGTATCAGCGTGCAAAACAAGAAAGAATGACGACGTAGACAGGTTGTAAAAGGCGCTGGCCACCAAATGTTTAACTCATGATACCAGCTATCCGTGCCAGCTATATATGTGTATACAATGGTAGTCTTGTTGTCGTTGGATTACACTCGGCTTACTTGCATTTACTGTCTGGGCAAGAAAGGGCAAGGACTATGACACTTGACAGTGTCCGCGGTGTCCGGCGCGCATAGAAAACAACCCAATACAGATAATTTTGCGCATATATACCTTCGTCTCAAATGGCAAATGTAGATTGCAGGTACATGAATAATCAACTAAAGACACTGCAATTGTGTTGAAACAAAACAGCACTTCAAATAACTTATTCAACCCTAATTCTTCGCACAATGGGTGTGTTTAAAAACCTAGTTGCATAACCACATGTAGTGGCATGGTTTCCATATGTGCACTCATGTTGTCTTCCCTTCTTTTTTCGCTAATAAACAGTTGTGAGTATAGCGTGTCGTCGTTTACTTTCTTTGAGGTTGTCAGTTTATTTTTTATTTTTTGCGCTAATATGCGTTTCAGTCTGTCGTGCATTACCAACCAGCCCAGCAACGTAGTATTTTACAACACAAAAATCACCTTGATCCATTTTTCACGGACCTCGATCGGTCACTGGAAACTCATGGAAAGTCACATCAGGTGTCTTCCCTTGCCTTGGTTCGCAGAAAGGCATGCAGCACACCACCATCGTGATGGTTAATTTGCACCAAGAAACCTCGCTTCGCTGGTATACAAACTGCACCGACCTGCACGCTTTTGTCACAGCTTGGCACGAGCTGCGACAGGTAGCGAAAGACCGTCATTATACTTTTAAGTTTATTCAAAAAGAGGTATTTATTCATTTTAATTGTCCAGAGTGTATGCACGCGTAAAAATTGCTGCTTTTCTCCCAGCGTCATGCGAGCAGACGAAAAAAAAAAAGCGCGGCGACCCATGTTCTGGGCGCCAGCAACCGGTGCGGATGAGGTAAGTTGCAGCGCCACAGGATGCATAGCGGCAGGAACTAATGCCAGAAAGGGCGTGCTAGCGCTTCGCTCGCTGGGCAGGTCAATGGAATACAGAAACTCTATGGTCGTGGTACCAGCCAACGTTTCTAGAACTAGGTAAGTTGAAAAATTCCCCGCGTCAGACAACCTGTCATACGGCGCCGAGACAATTTTCGGTTTCGTGGCGCTGGCAGCGCATCAAGCTTCCGCTAGCAGACGAAAACGCGCAGTCGTCGTGGCAAGACGCCGTGGCGACCGTTCTGAACGAGCTTCGCCAACAGCATATTATCGGGATTTTTGCTGTCGCGGAACCTAATACCGAGTAATATTCAGCGAAGTTAGGCAAATACAGTCTAAATATGGCTTTCTGAAGTGCCCACGATAAACGATGCTTGATAGCATAACATATGAGTCTGTCCGTTGCTAGTTGGTGTACGTTCGCATACAATTTTTAGGCGCGAAAAACCCAATTACAAACGTCTTGTATCCTCTATTGTTACTGTGTTTTTGTGCCTTAAAATAAATTACAACTATGTGGCGCAATCCTGTGGCTTTTGTCTGGTTCTGTAGTAAGCGTTTTTTCTTTTTTCATGTCAGTGACATTCTTTAGCAACTTAGGCCGTCGAAAAGCTGCGCGTACAGCGCTTTTCTTAAGCATGTCTCCCCTCTGCTTCTTGAGTTCCTCTAATAAAACCTGTTAACACAGCTGAAGTCAAAGCTTCGAGCAGGGACCGCACTTTAGTGTATCGGTGAGCCCTTCGTAGTCATTACTCACGAGGCTGCCTGCTGACGCATTGGAACAACACAAACACACTTTCAGATTTTCTATGTGCTCCAGAAGTTCGGCCAATCGGGTGATGGTATCTGCATTGCCGGGCGACTTGGCTAAGCGATGGTGACGGCTGCTAATGGTGACTGTCATGTCTTCTGCTGCGATTACGCATTTCTCCACCAACAGCGCTTTTTTTTTCTTTGAGCACTAGAAACGCCACAAGACGTCTTGTTTCGCTATTCTCAACAACTTTCCACCAACATGCAAGCAAACGTTTTTTATGTCTCAAAGCGAAATTATGACGCCCCTCGTTGACGGCATGTCAGAACTTATTTCACCGTCTTCGAACTCAGAGCGCGAAGATAGTCTATTCTTCTTCACCGATGATATTCTGGAAAGTACCCTACTCCTATCAGGCAACTTTCGCTTCTTTGTCGCGGATTTTGAAAGGTAAGCGGGCAAATTCGAGAATATCCGTGGAGCGCATCCTTCGACGAGGTCCCACTTTCCTCTGGCGATTTGTACCTTCCTGCTATTGATGACGTCAGTGAAAGTCTTCAGGATGTCCTCCTCGATATGAAAGTGCGCATCCCACACACGCGATGTGCTGGGCATTTTCTTATCCACACGAGGAATAGCGTGGTCCCATGCCTCTCGCTGCTCAGGTACTCGCGGGGCACAAAAGAAATTTCGTGTTGTCTCTCATTTCCTGTCGCCACTCGTACAGCCGGGAACGCAACAAGTGGGCATGATGAAAACACGCAACACATACAAAGCGGAACAGGGCACGCTGAAGCACAAAACTGTTGACGCAGAAAGAAGCCTCCACTGCTGGCGACGCACTGCAACAAGCACAGCCGACGGAGGTTACGGCAGTGACGCGAGCGAGCATGCAGTGAGTGAATCCGGATGCGACAGCAGCGCCACATTTGTCACTGGAAGTGGCGGCGCCGCACAACATCACTCAGTTTTTCAACTTACCTAGTTCTAGAAACGTTGGTAACAGCCACGGAGGAATTCCTTCCTCCGTCCGTGGTACCAGCTAAACGTTTTTCACCCTCGGCCCATAGGGGCGCGTCAATGGAGAGTTGTTTGAGACCTGCAACTGTACATTACTATTTCAGAGACTATGCAAAGTGTTGCGTTGTTGCATCGCCCACCACAGGTGACGCTAGCGACCGACAACATTCTAAAGTGAAGGAGGGAAAGAGTGTGGCAGCTGTTTTCTTTTTCATGCGGCAGGCATCTGAATAGGGGAGGTGTTGCCTGAGCAGCGGCTCAGACAATATTAGAGTGACCTAGAACTAGGCAATATATAAAGAGGCGCAGTTGGCGCGTTGTCTCAATTCAAGTTTTTCGGGTGAAACAGATGACGAATTTAATTGACAAACATACAAACGTTCGGTAAGGAATTTTCCCTCCAATTGTAACTCGCGCGCATGCATACGCTTGGCGGCTAGCAAAAACGGCAAGGTTCTATTTGGCGTTGCATAAGTGGTTGCCAGACTGGAAGGGTGGTTGTTGCCAAACTGCCGCTAACTTTGGCAGAAAATTTTTCTCCTGTAGTTGTGGCTTCTCCGTAAGAGTTTGGTGCTATCCGCGGTGAATTTTGCGAGTGCATGAGCGACGCTGGCCGTAAATTTAATTAACGGAATGGACCGAGCCTAGCAGAAGTCGAGCGCGGCGCTGCCGTGCAATTAAGAGGCCGTTTCAATTCCGTTTTAATTAACGGAATATACCGCGCCTAGCAGAAGTTGAGCGCGGCGCTGCCGTGCAATTAAGAGGCCGTTTCAATTCCGTTTTAATTAACGGAATATACCGCGCCTAGCAGAAGTTGAGCGCGGCGCTGCCGTGCAATTAAGAGGCCGTTTCAATTCCGTTTTAATTAACGGAATATACCGCGCCTAGCAGAAGTTGAGCGCGGCGCTGCCGTGCAATTAAGAGGCCGTTTCAATTCCGTTTTAATTACCGGAATATACCGCGCCTAGCAGAAGTTGAGCGCGGCGCTGCCGTGCAATTAAGAGGCCGTTTCAATTCCGTTTTAATTAACGGAATATACCGCGCCTAGCAGAAGTCGAGCGCGGCGCTGCCGTGCAATTAAGAGGCCGTTTTAATTAACGGAATAAACCTCCCATTACAGAAGTCGAGGCGCGTTCTCTTGCTGTGTGCGCAGCTGTGCGATTAAGATATCGCGTCTCAGTATTAGGGATTACGGGGAAAACTGATTAGAGTCGCAGGAGGGGATGCGCTGCCCCCCTTCCCCCTTACTTTTCTTTTTTTTTTTCTCTCTCTCAGCTGATCGTGTCGCGTCGACCGCGCGCTACGATGGGGGAAGTTTTCAGCCAAGAAGTGCACCGCGGATAGCACCAAACTCTTACGGAGAAGCCACAACTACAGAAAAAAAGTTTTCTGCCAAATTTAGCGGCAGTCTGGCAACAACCACCCCAAAGTCTGGCAACAAATTTATGCAACGCCAAATAGAACCTTGCCGCAAAAACGACCCCCCCCCCCCCCCCTTTTTTTTTTGCCAAGAAGCGTACTGTGCTTAAAACAACATAGTTGAACACTAGTTGGTTAGGATTTGTCAAAAACGAAGGTAGACGACAAACGCACACACAAGAAAAAGAGACCACTCGCGTAGTTTGACGAGCACCGGCGTTTGTGTCGTCCTGATCTCTCGTATGCGTGGTAGCACGCATAGGTCTATCTTGGAACACTGGTGTTCGTACTACTTTCAGGGTGAGCTCTGTGCTCAACCGAGACGTTAGTAATTTCGGCAAGAAGCACCTTACTGACGGTCGCCCAGACACCTGTTGGAATTCGGACCAGGTTTGTGCCAACGTGTTTCGAAGAGAATCGGCGTTGCTGACCCGCTATTTGTCGTTTCAGGGAACTCCTCAGTGGATATGTCTAGATTTCTCAACTCCTGTTGCGCTGTCTGAAATTCATCTCCAGTTTCAAGGCGGATTCGCTGGGAAAGAAGTGCGCGTCGAAGCTGCCAGTTCCGGCGCGACAGCCTGTTGCCGCATTTTCCCCGAAGATAGCAATGGCTTGCAAATATCCTTTCTCTCTCTCTTGTGGTCATGCATGGTCATACCCTTTGTTGGCAGTGACTATGGTGACGGGGCCCGTCAACGCAGTACTATCTTAGAAGTGTGGCAGCTTGGGCTAGTTGATATGGCATGACGATAGTTACAGCGCGAGAACAAAACGACGACACAGAGACAAGAAGGACATGAGCGCTAACTTCCAACTGAGTTTATTGCGCAGAGCGCGAAAATATATAGAGGAGACAGTAACCATGTGACAAAAAACATATGGCACAAAGAGCAGAACATGAGTAAGAGAAAAACAAAAGCACAGAAAAAGGCAAGGAAAATCTATGAGGAAACGAAACAGCAAAGTAAAGATAATATAACTACTTGCGCGCACCGAAACCTTCGAGGAACCTTAGTTCCTTCACGGACACAGAGACGGAGGGCTCGCTAATGCAAGGCGCCTGTTCGCGTGCCATCTGCGCGGCCTCAACAATGACTCGGGTGCGCTCATCTTTGTGCTTGTACAGCGTCGCTGTGTCCTTGAAAAGGGGCACACAATTGCACTCAGTGCAGTGCTGAGCAAGAAAACCATATTTCTCGTTTCTAACATTGTTTGCGTGTTCTCTCAGCCGATCGTTCAGACACCTTCCGGTCGTTCCGACATAACAAGCACCGCAGGAAAGGGGGGTCCTATAGACAACTTCCGGGGAGCATGCCGCTTGCCTGTTTCTATGTTGAACTCTGCATTCCGTTGATGACTGCGTTTTCAGGGGGTTTGTAGATTTGGTGAGGCTGATTAATTTGAACGGTGCCGAGAACAGGACACAAACTCCAACGCGTTTTCCGATTTTCTTGAGCCTGTGTGATATCTGGTGTTTGTATGGAATCACGGCTATCCTTTCACGTTCTGTATCTGTGTTGCTCGAATTCTGTCGCTGCCTCCGCTCTGCCTTATTAGTCCACAGGATCGTCTCAGCAACGGAATCGATAAACGCCTTGGAGAAACCCGAAGCCTTAAGCCGGGAAACTTGAGCTTTGAAGCTCGCAGAGATATTGTGGGCGCACGACCTATTTAAGGCATTCTCAAGGCAGGTTCGTGCTATGCTTCGCTTAACTAACTTGCTGTGAGCGGAAGAAAAGGGAAGTAGAGGTTTCTGCGCACGTGGTTCATAACATCAACAGATGTGCTATGGGCTAAAAAAGTCTTAAATAAAGTTATGCTTTTTGAATTTAAGACTGTTTTTTAGCTCACAGAAGAAACGGGAAAGATGGTTTTGTTGCTCACCACTGCACTGAGTGCAATTATGTGCCCCTTTTCAAGGACACAGCGACGCTGTACAAACACAAAGATGAGCGCACCCAAGTCATTGTCGAGGCCGCACAAATGGCACGCGAACAGGTGCTTTGCATTAGCAAGCCCTCTGTGTCTCTGTCCAAAAAGGAACTAAGGTTCCTCGAAGGTTTTGGTGCGTGCAAGTAGTTATATTATCTTTACTTTGCTGTTTCGTTTCCTTATAGATTTTTCTTGCCTTTTTCTGTGCTTTTGCTTTTTGTTTTTCTCTTACTCGAGTTCTGCTCTTTGCGCCAATGGTTTTTGTCACATGGTTACTGTCTACTCTATATATTTTCGCGCTCTGCGGAATAAACTCAGTTGGAAATTAGCGCTCGTGTCCTTCTTGTCTCTGTGTCGTCATTTTGTTCTCGCGCTATAACTATCGTCATGCGAGAACTAAACGACGACACAGAGACAAGAAGGTGTCCTTCTTGTCTCTGTGTCGTCACTTTGTTCTCGCGCTATAACTATCGTTAGGGTGGGGGGCCCGTTAGTGCAGCACTGTCGTTACACTGTGGGGGCCGATGCTGCTATAGCGACGGGCTCCGTCACCGTAAAGCAATGGTAAAGATGAGAGGGGGCCCGTTGCCGTAAATTTGTAGTCATTGTAGACGCCGCCGTCTAGCTGTTGTGGTGGCGATAGTTACAGTGCGAAAACAGAACGACGACAAACAGACAAGAAGGACACGAGCGCTCGTCCTTCGCGCTCGTGTCCTTCTTGTATCTGTGTCGTCGTTCTGTTCTTGCGCTATAACTATCGTCTTGTCATACCAACTAGCCCAAGCTGCCACACTTCTAAGTTGTGGTGGTGTAATGGGTTCAAGCATAGTTGGGGAAATGGTCTTGCCGCTGGTCGTCACTTCGAATTCCCATTTTGTTGTTTTCTAGTCTACTTTTTTTCATTTATTTTTATTTTATTCTGTTTTTTTACCTGTGTGCTTAGATTCAGGTGCACGTCTAAGAACACTAGCAGTTGAAGTTTGACTTCAATACAACTTCCCTCATAATCATATTAGAGCTCTGAGACGTGAAACCCCTGAAATTACTGTTACTGCATACTGTGGGTTTTTTATGCATTCCTAGAATGTTTTCTTGACGAGAGCAAAAGTTTACATTGGAGCTGGACATCCCAGTGGAAAGGATGCGGATAGTTTTCTGCTCAAGCACAGACATGTTTGGGCGGATTGTACTGTATCATCTGGCTGTTTGTGGGAAAAAATGCAATTCCGAGAGCAATTCGCTGGACTGACTGTGCCCAATAAATTAACAATATTTTCCATCAACAGCACTGTATACGTGGTTTCCTAAAGAAGTGGTGCACACGGTAACATAACCGACACCAGTTTACACCACACTGTAATGCCGTGCATGCGAGAAATGTGGCTTACTGTGCACTTTATGGTGCCTGACTGCTGTAATGGCAGTGGTGTTCAGGTATGTGTTACTCTACAGTCATGTCTCTAGTTGAGAGCTTGCACATGACATCATAAACTCTGGTCCTTAACAAACGGGTACTTGAACATGGCGGCCTTGATGATAAATCAGCATAATCATGTGGCAGTTAAACTACAACTTTACGAATCCGATATATAGTCGATGAAGGAGAGTGTAGGGAACATTATTTGTTATTTTTAAGTTCAATTATGGTTTCAATGAACCTCGAAGTTCATGCTGCTACAGTCTTGTGGGCCAAGAGACGGCACGTCCAAAATGATGGAGCATAAAAAGAATGAAACATCGCTTCGTGTCCAAGCGACGGCTCAGGAGCAATGAACAGCATCTGATAGGTTCCAACAGTGGTGAAAGAAACTAGACCACATTACATGATGCCTAATAGGAAAAAGAAGAGTATTCCTGACTTGCCATCTTGATTATACGAGTGGCACTAGCTAGCACTTTTAGACTTCACGCACATAAATTCCCAACAATGTGGATGCCTGCTGTTGTAGCTAAATTGGTACAGTATCGGATGTGTGCTCTTTTTCTTTTGTCCTGGTTTATTTAATTTGTCATATTTACTGCACTGGTATGATTCTGTGGTGGAAAATTGAGTAAACCATGCCCTCCATGTTTTTTCCTTGGCAATGAAGAACCTGCTGTATGGCCAAGTGAGAAGATTTATTTATTTTATGATTCATCTATGTGCAGATATCATCAGCCCTTGTACATGGCTATTACAGGAGCAAAATACATAATCATTACCGAGACAGAATTTAATTGTCTAGATAAAGCGACAATAGACGTTGAACCAAGAGGCATAACCAAATAGAATATCACATAAAGGCAAAGTATTGCTAGTTATAAATAGGAATATGTGCTATGTGTTTTAAAAATATATCCATAGATGAGCACAAAAGGCTTGTTCCGACAAGGAATTACATTTGCTGACAGCTCTGGAAATAGCCGTTAATGAAGAACATCAGAAATTTTCTTCCTTAGAACGACGAACGCCAGGCCTGCGCTGAAGGCGCAGCACAGTTACAGCGTAAGCTACAAGAGTGGCCTTTCAGGGCCTTTTCTAAACACTCACTGGGTAACTACTGCAAGCACACTTGCTGGGTAGTAGGCCGGCATTTGCTATGCTATGCAAGAATATTTGAGGGGAAGAAACTCCCAGGCCGCTGCAGCGGGCAAGGGCTCACAAACGTATCAAGCTAAGTTTTCGAAGAGTACGGAAAGGGGGAAGGAGACAAGATGAGCTACTACAGGAAAATTTTCATTCAGAAAGGCAAATAGAAATGGCTACTAAACAAATTGAGAAAGTAATCACTGACGATAATAAAACATTGTGGACATACACGAATCTACTTAGACTGAGCTAGAGCTTGCTAAGGCACATGACATGTCGCACCAGAAAAGGAGACACAAACACAAAAGTTGGTGGGAGGAGGAAGTTAAGAAAGCCATAGCGAAAAGTCAGGAAGCCTGTAGGGAACACGGACAAGCTAAGCAGAGTGGTGAACCGACAGATGATGTCGAAATAAAATGGGATATCTTTCTCAGTTGTAGAAAAGAAGCATGCCTTCTCATCAATGAAAAGATTAGAAGAAAGGGGGCTTAGTGGCTGGCCCCCTTGTAATTGTAATTTTTTACTTAAGAATTTTACTTGCCAGTGGCTACCTTACTGAGTAAACTAATTTAGCTTGGGCCCATGGTATGTGTCAGCTGTGAAGAAAGTGGATTGAATGACAGGGCTACATGCAAGTGTCGGTAACAGAAGCAATCGATTGTGCAGAAAATAACTAGGTCAATGAAATAAAAGTGGGACCAGAACATGCATTGTGTGAGCAGAGTGGATCTATGTAGAAGTAAAAAATGTTTCAGTATAGAGCAGATGAAGCTTTGCTCATTCTCGCATGTGTGGGATTTCCAGACTTATTTTTTTTGTGTGTGTTGGAGCCCGTGCATTTTATTTTGTCTGGTGCAATAATTTATATATTTTTTTTGCTCGACTGTTTTGTAAAAATGGGATTTCATTTAAATATGCGAAAACACCTAATCGGGATTACGGTTGAGTACAAAAGTGAGAGGCACTAATCTACGTTTCAAGAGTTTTAAGGAGTCATTTTGCAGACTGTACCTACAGTGAAATATGCATGGGCGAATATGAAGCAGTGGTAAAAAACTACAATGGCAACAAACTCTTATGTCGGGTTTTTTTTTTACCCTTGAAGTAAGCATGACTCAGTCTGTGGGTAGGAAAGGAAGTTCTTCTAAGTTCCTCTGGCTTTAAATGCGTCATTATTACTCCTTTTAATTTCAAATTTCTGTTTGAACTAAGTGCAGTTGTAGCCCAGTAGTGACAACGTATATGACCAAGCATAGAAACATGAGCACTCCACCTGTATCGGGTATGAGCCATTGTAGTGGGAAGAAGGAAAATGATGGCTTGCCGTCCTGGCCTGAGGAAGCCACGCACCTGTGGTGGGTTGCGACAGGAACAACTGACCAACCGACTGCCCAGGATGCAGCCACCAACTGTGGTGAGGGAGGACTCGTTCCTGGCACCTCTGGACCAGGGCTTGCACCAGGTGGGGCCCCAGCTTGAGCGCCTGCTGGCAACGCTCGAGTGGCAGACAGGCCAAAAGCGGATCACTCTGTTTATCAGTGAGTACCCTGTGCAGCAGTGGGCTACAACATTGAACAAGTATAAAAAAATACATTTACACTGCTGTACAAACAGTATTTAGAGGTGGCTCTTAGCCAGTGTGAGGCTCAGCAAAATCTAGTTTGACACTTTATTTTGCTATTAGTCAGTTTTCTTATGGCTTATCTACAGTACGAATTCTGACAACTTGACGCTGTAATCTGGCTGGTTACGACGACGTCAGGCACCAAAACTTCCAAAATGGTCGCTTGTGTGTCATCATTGGAGCCATGGTGCTGAGTGACCGTGGACGATATCTTGCACAAGCACGTGATGACACGCTCTTATCATGTTGTGACATCAGAGAACTGTACTAGCTTTCAAAAACACTCTGTAATAACTTTTTCGAAGTGCACTTAAGCTTAGCAGTACATTTTCAAGCCCTTGAGGACTTTCATTTGACGCAAAAAAAAATGGCAACTGAAAATTATGATGCCAGTACCCCTTTCAATAGGAAGATTTCAAAAAGAGCTTGTGTGAATACATAGAGAAAGAAAGGACATGTTCGAGACTAGATGTGCGAAAGTATACGTCGCACCCGAAAGAAAGACTCTGATGGAACATATCGGAGTGTACACTTGTGTATAATGTGCGTCCGGCTGTTATACATATGAGCAAGCATTCCTTTCCCCCAAAACAAGTTTACGAAACAGCAGCAGAAGCAAGGTGAACAAGCATCATGTCATGCATAGTTCAACTTCTGGGAGGCTGCTGGCAGGGTTGCTGTTAGATTTATTTAGCAAGAGTAAGAACTCAGCCTTGTGGGAAGCTATCGCCACCTGTAAAATTGTTTGCACCTAATGGTGCACATGCATCTTTTGAATAAGCCGCACTGAGGTTAAACATCCACCAAGCGGCAGGTGGTGCAGTGCTTGTGCGGGTTCATCATCATCATCATCATCATGGTTATAACGATAGCACCAGCAGTGCCGCCCGGGGGCGAGGCTAAGTTGTCGCACAGAAATTATTCAAGAGTCTCTCTAGCATTTGGGCGGTGACCGGGATGGATGTCTACTGCAGGGGATTCGCGGGATGTGGCAGTCACAGGTCACTTCCTGTGGGTCCCTTGTGGAGAGTCGAACATCGGCACTGCCATCTTTGCATTACCTTTTATTTTTTGTATTGACTGAGTGGGCTGGAGTATTGTATGAGGTTGTTTTGGTGTGTCACTAGTGACCTAATTGATTCAACTAGTGATATTATAGAGGCAAAGGTAGTTGAATAAATGTACAAAGGTTTAGTTTGCCCGTCCACATCTGCTATGTTCGCGCGTCCCGAGAGTGCGGCAATCTTTCAAGACCCCGCAATCTAAAAATAGCCAGAATTGTCGTGCCATTTAATTTCATCGGCGGATTTGTAGCCAAATAGAACAGAAGCAATACGTGTAGTTTTTATGAATGAACGTTGTTTATAATACCATTTGGAATAAGCTAGACTATATAAATAAAAGCTAAATTTTTTTTGCTCTGGTTTTATCTTCAAGCCAAGTTGTAAATAAATGGATAAATTATTAGAAATTCAGTGTGACTGCACATTGCATGTGTATAGTAGAGCGTTTGCCATATACTTTTCAGTTAACTAGTCATTAGGAACATTGAAACGGTTGTTTCTTGAAGCTGTATATGAAAACCGAGCGGTAAAGTCTGCATAATACCTGTCCTGCTTCAGATGAGGAATGCTGGCCAAAGATGAACATTCTCTCTTGATCTTATTTCAGGTTTTTGTTTTTGTCAAGTACATGCAAGAGCACATTCTTTGCATCAAAATCATAAGCTTGAGCTAAGCATCAGCGTGAATAGTGGGCAGTCTGGTAGCCGTACATTTGCCAACATGCATGCAACTTAATTGCTTTTTGCTTCGGGGTGTCTCAATATGGACATGCATAGGAAAACATGAACACAGTGTATTTCATCTGCTAATAATATGTAATATGGCTGGTTAACGCATAAGGTTGGAAAGTCAACGGTAGCCATGGCACCAACGTGTAATTTTTATCGCCACACGGAGTCATAAAATAGTCAGTTTGATGTAAAGTAGCCACAAATGGAAACCCTGGCTGCGAAGCAAAAGCGTTACGCAGCCTCCCTCAGTGCAGTTTGTGCCCAAGAAGCTGAACAGGCAAAACTGAGCAGTTCTTACCCACGATGCTGGCTTTGTATTGCAATACTGAGTGTTTAACAACTTTTCTAGCCAATCATGTCAATGTGTCAGTCATTTATATATATTGTAATATTGCATGATATTGTATAGTGATTGTATTGCTAGTGTGTCAGCATTTATGGAATGGAGTGTTCAAGCACTTTATCCATAAGGGGGCTCTGCAACACTCTCTCAACATGTTCATAATATGCTACAAATTGGCAGTTCCAGGTTCTGGAAATACACAAGCCAAATAATAATCCACAATACGGAGGCCTGAAATTTACAATTAATTTTCAAAGGTGGCAGACTCACTTTTTTTTGCTCTCGACAAATGATACTACATACTCAAATGACTGTGCCGCATACCCCAATTGACGACCATTGGTGTATTTGAGCATCATGGGCTCCCTAGTTATTGTATCCACTGTAAAAAGCTGCTGCATGCCCCCACACCGAGCGCGTTCAAAGAAGCGCTCAAGCTCAACTTCCCTCCCTGGTTCGTTCGTTTGTCGGGACGAGATAAAGCTGTCACAGCTCGCACTTGAAGGACTCTTAATTAAAAGTTTTGCAGTAGTTGTTTCGTTGTTGCTCACTGCGCAGAAAAACAGGTGAAAAAAGCATTAGGTCTGACGGAAAATAAATAAAAAGAAATGTTTGAATTGGGGATACAAAGTTCATCCGATTGGAGTATTTGAGTAAATCAACCGTTCGTCCGGCGAGGTGCAACTGTAAGGACTAACAGTTGTCCGGTAAGGTTTAAATGTGGTGACTAACAATTGTGTGATAAGGTGTAAATGTGAGGACTAAATGTTAGTCCTTTGAGGTGAATTGGGGAACTAACGGTTACTCACTAAGGTGTAAATATGAGGACTAAATGTTAGTCTCCTGAGCTCGTCTGTGGTGACTAACTGTTAGACCCGGTGCCATTAGTCCCTAAAGGCAATAATGGTTGTGGCAGCGCCATTAGTCCCCCAAAAAACGAATCACATATCCTTTTGCCTTAGAGTGTATAAGCTGATAGTATGACGGCCCAGTGTGATGTTCGTGATGCAATAAATTCCTATAAGTGGGGCCATTTGATGGTTACTTGAAGAAGCATTGCTGGGCCCCTTTAAATAAATAGGCAACCATGCAGAATACAAATAGAGATAATTCCACTAATGAAAAGATTGTCTCTTCTACTGCCTACAACAAACCCCATTTTTCTCACTCAATGTAGATTTATATTGTTATTTCATTACTAGTATTGTAAAAAATAACTTGGCACATGATTCAGCAAAAAAGTGCAGATGTATACAATCCCCATTACGTGACCTTTTACTTTATATTCCTGTTTATGTGCAGTACACGTTTTTATTATAATATTTCTTAACCTGAAATGTGCAGATATGCTTTTCGTTTAGCTAAACAGTGGTGCCACCTTCGCTGAATGTATGATCTGATGACCAGGTGTGGCAGGCAGCATGGATGTTGTTAGCTGAGGCACTTGCAACATTTTCCGATGAATTGGAGAAGCACATAGAGCACCTGCTCGCAAGTTGGTGAAAGAACTTGATGCAATGACAAGAACACTTATTCTACCTGCTTGTTATATTCAGAAGTTTCTGGGAAAAAAAAATCAAAATAAAAAGGGTTAACCACAGTCGCTCTCAGTCCTCCAAAGCAAAACCTTGAACATAATGAACAGTTTGCGAGGAGGGCTATCAGCATCACCATCATTTCACAGTGTTGCTGAAGGAGAACTTGAGCTTAATTAGTGGTTTCCAAGATTAAAAAATTATGCTTACAAAATATCCACGTACTTCTGGAGTCAACTGCAGCAGGTTTAACCACAGCTGACGAGGAGCTTTCCGTTGCGTTGTAAGATAACTGGTTCAAGAAAAATTGGTTGTCCGTCTCTTTTAAGGGTAAAACATTCGAAGCTGAGTTTACTTTGCCATACAAATTCTCTGCATAGTGAGAAAGTTTGTATGCATAGACAGCTTTTGACAAGTGTGAGGTTTATTGAATACAGATATTTAATTTCATCTTAACGTTAATTTTCGCATAGAGCACCTACTGGCATTGACTGCAGCATGTTTGGTTGTCGGGCTACAGTACCAATGTTGGCGACTTCAGCCACCAGCATGAGTAGTTGTGATAACCCCAGGTATCAAAAGTACAAAAATGGATGGTTGGGCAGCGTCAGAACAGAGAAACTCTGGAAATGTCATGATACATTGTTTGAGTGTGTGATGAAAAGCTCATGTCATGACATCGGGGCACAGTAGGAATTGAAACTAGTTTTTAAGACATGTTCCAATTAATGTTTCAGAACACAACCTCATGTTTACCAACAAATTTTCTAGGCTCTCGACAGCATGGCCTTTAATTTGTTGCAAAAGGCCTTTGATTTGAAAAAAAAAACAGTAGTAGAAGATGAGTGTATAAATACCGCTTTAACTGATGGTAGGTCATGAAACAGCCCTTTGAGGACTATGCCATGTGCAATGGAATGGAAAATGTTTGGTGTAAGAGATTGGAAGACAGTAGAATGGGTGAGACATCAAAGAGCTATAACTGGTATTGTAGTTCATATTAAGCAAAATAAGTGGATCTGAGCTAGCCACATAAATGATAAGACAGACGGCTTGTGGTTACTTAGAGTGGATTAGGTTCTAATGGAAGGCAAAAAGGTGTGTGTGGCAGTGTGTCAGGCATAGAAGGCATACATTGTAATTAGTTTGCTTTAGAAAGGGCCTAACGGAAATCTCTAGGAGCAGCCTTTGTCCTGCAGAGAACTTAGAATTATGACGATGTGTAGCTTGGAGGCCTCGTGATAGGAGGCAGCTGAAGCTTTTGTCTGTTCCCTCGTGAAGACATGCATTACCTTTGTCTGCGGCTGCCACCCAGTCATGGTCATGCTGCTGTGCATCTACATGGTCACCAGCGAGAATGCCCCACTTGTCTGCAGCTTTGCCATCTACCTCATCGCTGCCTATTCCTCGTAAGCACTTCTGCCATACTTTGTTCAGCTCACTTGCATCTCACTTCTTTCTTTCACTTGTGAATGTACAAAGTATTTAGCTGGGCAAAGCTTTGCTTGAGCATTCGGGAAAGCTGCATAGTGTTAAACATGAAACTGAAACAACAGAGGCAGCACATCGAGCAGTGTAAACACAAGAACTTACTTTCAAGTATGCTCAATTGTAAATCCTTCAATGTTTAATATATATACACACACACATGCACATATGCAGAGGCACCAAAAAATTGACATTTTTCTTAAGCCTGACGTTGAGGCACGACCCTGTTTGCCCTATGTAGCTTTTTCCACATGACAGGGAAAGCTGTTTTACAACACCTTCTTTGCTTTGTGATGTGCTCTACGATTCTTATCATAGCCGCATATTTTGTTAGGGTTGTTGTGGCTGCACACTTCTCCCAACTTGTTTGAAGCCGTAAAAGCTATGCTAATATTAGCTCGAGCATCCACCTTTTTTTCTTGTGTGTGTTGGGGGGGTGGGATATCTTGTGTTGGTAGGTAGGCCATTGTTGCGAACTTCCTTCAGTCATTCATAACGGCTGCTGAATTTTGCTGGCAACCTGAAGATTTTTAGAAAGAATTCTGCGGCAGACACCAGGAGATGATCGGGGTAGCGTGCTTGTGCAAGCAATTTATGTCGCCTAATAATAGGGGCCAGCCTTGACTTACTGAATTGGCGGCCATACATCATCAAGGCCCAGATTGCGTCATTGTCATTATACAGAAAAGTAGGTCATTTCTTGATGCCTCCACATATACTTGAGTGAGTGTCCATAATTTCATGCACATAATCCTTCTTCCAATAAAACATACTTGGAAGTTAGTACTTGTGTGTGTGTACTACTCCCAGTTTCATCCCGTTGTTTCAGTTTCACACTTAAATTACGAATATATTGTGCCAGCAAGGCCAAAAATATATTCTTGCTTAGCATATGTAGGCCAGTGAGTAAAAACAGTGTGATCTTTGTCTTTTTTATGCCTTTTTTTGTGAACGGAACGGAGTCTTTTGGCAGTCTTCATGATTTTCTTTGGTTGTGCATTTCTGTTGCCTATTTTACATAAGACACATGCCTGCCACCAACTTGAGCTGTTAAATGTTTTCATATTTTTGTGTCTTGTGATGTTAATCGATGAGGTCAGGTCAATCGTTTGCACCAACCCAACTGCTTTCATATGCTATACACGTCCACCATGTTTGTTTAGTTGTTTAAGATACAAAATGGCAAGATTATAAGCCCAATATGACGGCACCTAACTGCATCCATAAAATAGTGTAAGGAAAGAATGGGTGTGTAATCAGCAGATGATATATCTGAGAGGTAAGTAGTTCATGCATGTGCAATGCTTGGCAGGCAACAACGCTATAACAGCACTTAAATCAGTCCCGAAGCAAGCCAGCACTTTTGATGTCCCAGACAAGTGTTCTGCAAATGATTTTGGATGTACACTCATATTGCCCACTATTGCCCTCTTGGCCGCAGCACCTGCACAGTGTAAGCTATAGCTGAAGCTGGAATTTGTATTTAGGTTAATCCACAATATATTAGCACTCACATTTCTTTATTTTTGAGACCAGCATTTATTTCTATGGTAAACAAGGTAATAAATAAAAGTAGCTGGCCCGGATCATCCAGTGTGCACCTGCCATTCTGAACGTTACTTTAGTGGCGTGTATATGTTCTATGCAACATAGACGATGGTCAAAAGTGGGAACAACACAAGCTTTAACTAACAACTGAAAGATTATTGCATTGTCACATTAAAGAAAAGCCTGGACAGCACATGAAGGGGTGGTGCCATCATATTTTTGGCTGCAAGCGTTTCTTATAGCTTCAGGAAGCATGCTACACGCACCAAGATTCATTTATTTTCGCTGAATAAATTAATATCGCTTTTTTTATGTAGACAATTTTCGGTTTAGGTTTTTGGGTGCCGAATTGGGCTGTGGCGTACCAGTGTAGGTGGCTTGGTCTCGTGACCACACAAGAATGTGACGCACATCATGCTGATTACCATCTGCCCACGCGCACACGTGCCACACAAGCACGTGCAAAACCAATGTGCAGCAGTCTGGATGCTTTGTTGGTACGTACGTGGCCGAGGTCTCCGGAGGTCACTCACCGCACTACAATAGGCGTACGCACGGAGAGGGGAGTAGGGAGGCTGCCACTCCTGTAGTCACCTACGAGAGGGGGGGGGGTGCAAACGCAGCAGCAGCCCCACAGATTGACATAATGCGATGAATCTTTGTCCCCCTTGAAGGGGAAACCTGTTACCGCCTACGCTCACTCTGGTGTGACGTTACTACTACTTTCGTTGCCGATCCTTCAGTTCTGGACGTGCTTGCATTGGTTTGCCACACTAATTTTGATAGTTAATCAGTCGGCCGTGAAATCACTAAGACATACGCGACCAGTTAGTTGAATGGACCTACAGGTACTCTTAAAAATTTCTTGCTTCACGATTAAATGTTTGCTCTTAATATTTAGTTCATATTAATTAGTGCTTTCAATGATTGGTGTTAGTGGTTACAAACATTATATCTGTAAGTTCTACCATCAGAAAGTGATAAACTGAACCAAATTAGCCTGAGTTTTTCTGAAAGTGATCAATCAGTGCATGCCAGGCAATGCTAGTGAACGGGAACGTTTGAACCAAAATTACACCTAAAAAGGCAGTGTCTTCATCCTGTTCCGAAGGAGCACATCGAGGCACTCGATACAACAGCGCAACCGGGCGCCACCGTTTTAGGCTTGTCAGAAATAGCATGGTTTTAGCTGAAACTTTCTGTGTCAGCTAAAACCTCCACTCAGAAACAAACGTACAAAAAGCGAATTTTCGAAGCTCGTTTCGAGGCCTCGGGTTGGCTGCATCCGCCGTGTTGCTCCAGCATGCCTTGCCATTGGTCTGATCGTCACTTTAAGACAGCATCGTCCTCTGCTTGCATGTAGCATTAGCAAAAAATTGTGCGGCTAAGTGACGCGTTCGCACTCGTTCTGTTTCGTGGGTCAACTTTTATTTAGAATATAACTACGCTTTGGTTTGGCAATCGCAAGCAGAAGCTGAGATAATTATTTGCGCTGTGTTCAATGTGAACATTGCGCGCTGACTGTTCTGCTTATCATCAGCTGATCGGGCCTCGTGACGACGACCACTGCAGGGCGACTCTCAGTACTCACAATCATTTGAAACATCAGGCACCGCAGCCACGCTCATCGTCACCGAGCTTATACTACTCGAATTCGTGGCTAGGCTTAACTCCACTCACGACTCCAATGTACGAGGTGAATCCACTTTGCGGTCGAGAATATTGGCGAGTGGACATGCATGCAAAAGCAAAAAAGCCGCAATGTGCTTGGTTTCAAGCTATGGATCGCATTGCCCTCTGGCTAATCAGAATTGGCATTTTACATTTTACGGACTCTTTGGGAAGCTTGTCGCAAACGGACTGCTCGTAGTGTTGGGGGAGACGGCATGTTGGCACCCCAAAACGCAAGACCAAGCACTCTGCATACTGATTTATCGTCATTATATTTATTTTTCATCATGATAGACCATTATTTTATGGAAGGTAGAATACTTTGAATAGTAAAATTCTGGTGAAAATGAAATCAAATAGTGAAATCAAATGAAATCTGGTGAAAATGAAATCAAATAGTGAAATCAAATGAAATCTGGTGAAAATGAAATCAAATCCGCCTCCACCAACACTACGAGCAGTCAGTTTGCGACAAGCTTCCCAAAGAGTTCGATGTGTAAAATGCCAGTTCTGATTAGCCAGAGGGCAATGCGATCCATAGCTTGAAACCAAGCACCTTCACTATTTGAAAAATATTTAAAAGTTGAAATATTCTCGCACTCCTACTTATTTTGTTTTTATTTACTTTTACTGCGCCCTGAATTTCCTTTTTTCATCTTTTTTTGTTCAAAGGGTTGGCTAATTTATGCAGTATTAAGACATTAAACAACTGCACTTTCAAAAACTTAATACTTAGTACTCGTTATTGATATGTCGTGACATGTAATCTCATTTGTGGTTTGAAACAATGCCGTCTAGCCTCTTATTTGCAGTTTATTAATTTGTTAATTCCCAAACATCACCTTGATAAAATGGCAAATAATTTGCTACTGCATAAATATTGATAATACCTGTATTGTTCTGACTTGGCGATTTTTTTTTCTTTTGCAGCTTTCACAACATAGAAAATTCTTCGAAAAATGACGACAGCCAATGGATTATTTTTTGGCTCATCTTTGGCTTTTTCAATATGCTGGACTACTTCACTGATCAGATTAGGGCGAGCTTCCCTCTCTTCTGGGCATTCAAGGCAAGCGAAAAGAGTTGTGCTGTGGTAACAATCTGTGGGTGTTCCCCAAGTTGGGGTTCGTTCCTTTGCCCTCACTAACTGCTTGCCTTTGTACATGTGCTGAACTTTAGTGGTTATCCAAATCGCACGTGGGTACTGACAGATTGAAACGCTATGTGCTATGGGGGTTGAGTGAACTGGTGCCTCAGACAGACTGTCGGGGTCCGCCTAATTATTCTATGCCTTCCGAAAATATTTGCCCACTTAAAGAGACTGTCTACTGCTCACAAAGATTTTTCTGATTGTGGTGCAAATGAGAAGATCGTTCATCACATTGGCAGTAATGAGTATGGTTTCGTCCCATAAAAAAGACATTATAATTTCAATTTTATGTGGAAAGTCTACAGATAATTACCACTTAAGTCACCTAACAGCAATGTGGTCAATCTACTAGTAGGACAAGAAATCCTTGAAGGTAGACTTATTTTGTTTAAAAATAAACATGTATAACTTGAAATTGTATTTTACACACTTGAAGCACCGTTAAGTTGCACTAGAGACTAATCTTTGCTTTTTTTTTTCCTCACACGTCTAAAGAAGCGCTCGGTGGCGCTGCCCACGATCTGTTTGCTTGCCTGCCTGCAAATGGCAGAGAAACACGAGCACAGCATCCACTGCCGCTCTTATGAACAACAAAAAAGTGTGTACGTGCCTTAAATGACCGCTAAAGTATTTGATCTAATAATAATAAACAAAACGTGATCTAGCCTGCAAAAATGCACATGGTTTCAGTTTTCGACTTTCACTGGCGGTACAATTGTTTTCGCCTCCACCGACCAGTGTTACGGGCATTCATCCTGCCGATGGAAGGAGACCGAATGCAGATTGAAAAGTTGTGTTTTCAAAAGGTTTACACACTTTTCGGAGAAATCACTACATGGTTAGATACCTTAAATGGTATGCTTTTTATCGCGACTCAAAACACTGAAGGGTGGTAGACAGTACTTTCTTTTTTTCTTAAGTGGAGAGCACTTTAAGGGGCGTGACTGTCGTAAGCTGTAGTGTGCGTGGCATAATGCTCCATGTGTTGAGCGTGTGCTTGAAGTCTTCTTGTACTTCAAGTGCCTTCGTGATAATCAGCAGCAGCAACTAGTGCACCTAGTTGTGCACTCAAGCAAAATAATGTACAAAGAGAAAGCGAGCCGAAAGGGGAATTAGACATGCTAAATAGGTAAAGAGAGAGGACAAAATAAGAGAAAACTGCCCAGCTCTGCACTTCCTTCCGGCTCTTTCTTTCTGTCTTCGTGTTTCTTCAAGCCCTGTCAACTTTTAGCAGCCCTTTTTACTCAATTTTTAAAGGGCCCCTGACACAAAAGTTGCAAACTGTTTGATTGTCCTGTATTTGGCACCAATTAGTATTAGTAGTATGGGTGCTTAATCTCTGTTGGCAGCAACATGTGCTACATGTATGGTGTACATAAAGTACCTACAACAGCATTCAGTGAGTAAGCCAAGTATGGTGAACGACTCACTCATTGAATACCACAGCTGGCACCTGACAAGGAATATTGTTTCTTGCCCTTCTCTTCTGAAAATGGCTCTGACAGCTTCCGCTAGCAATTGTTTTCTTTTTCCTGGGGGACACGCTCTTGACTCTTCAGGTAATGCTCAACAGGCTCAACCCGTATCAAAGTGCCCACATCATTTAATCCTTTGCTGTGTCCTGATTTGAAAACTCCACCTTCAATCTCACCAGAGCTTGAGCACATACGGTATGGTAGGTTCTCCCTCGTAGTGGGGGGCTATAGTTTCTTCTTAATTTAGCCTGGCAATTTGAAGTGATGCTATGGTTATAGCACTAATTGCTTGATATAGTAAAGCATTTTAATATTATATTGTGGGATTATTAGGCATAAAGCTACAAATTACAGTGAAATGTCGCAATTTTGGTGTCAGGAGTCCTTTAGAACAATCATTTTTTTACAACTGTCCTCACTGGCATAGAATTACCATGCTGGTTCCTTCTGTAAATGACACGTGCTGTGATGTCAATTACTAAATTGCAAGCCAAGTTGATGAGATGCCTTTGACAAAAACACTGAGCCTGTTTGAGGCTGTTCAGATCAGTGTTACTACACCACCCTATGCACGCTTGCTCTCTGAAGTGGGTGCAATAGCGGAAGTGCAGACTACAAGCTTTGTGCTGGAAAATGCTGAAGATGTAGTGGTCTGAGGTTGTCTTTCTTTTCACTTGTGGAGATAGGTTTGCAAGAAGCTTAGGGACGTACTCCTCTGCCACAGCCAGGCTCATTGACTCTCTGAAATGGTGCAAATTGAGGCAGACATTACTAAGAACAACAAAAGTACAGTACCCTTATTCAGATTGGAGCTGAGAGCTACAGCAAAAGCACATTTTCTGCAGAAGAAAAGCTTATGTTTGTGAAGAAAGTTACATGCTGTATTATGGCACTCAGATTTGTCCTGAATAACATTGCAAGTTTTGGCACAAATACAGCGCTATGTCAGGGTGCTGTACTGTGTGAGTTAGTGCACAGCTTAGCGAGGCAAAGTGGTGCAGTGTAAAACTTTATGCAGGTGTTCAGAAAAATTGCCATTGCTCTTGACTTCTTCATAATTTTTTACATTGCACTACTTGGCTCTCGTATCCCTATTGTTTGGCCTTGTCTTTCAATCTGCTTTTCGTTACTTTCTTCATATTTGTTTTGCATGCAACCCCTCGACAGCACAACAATAATGTCATAAATATGCTGAGTACCCATCCATAATAATGGTCAGCTTACTGTAGGTTTATTTTATTTCTTGGTGGTTAGTATTAAGCGATTCGCAAATGAATTCTGCAGTTTTTGTTCTTGACCTGGTGCCTGGCACCCACTGGAACCAACGGCGTGACGGTCATCTATCTTCACCTGCTGTATCCGCTCTTCCTTGGCGAGAATGACTGCCGTGTCATGGATTTTGGAGGCAGCCAGTCGCTCTGTAGCCACATCTGGCTTCAGTGCTACCCGTGGGCACAGTGAGCTTGAGTTTTATTTCATATGGTAGACAGTGCTAGCCTAGTTTTCTCACAAGTTGCTTAATGGGGAGGCAAAGTTCTTTCATGATACCCACTGTGAAACTCCATTGCAGACACGCCCATGAAACAGTGCGCATAGGATGGCAAACTGACCCATGCTCAGGCAGCAACAACGCAAAACATATAAGGATAGCAGAAAGCAAAGCTAGTTGTCAAGGATTTGTGTTTAGAGCAAAACTTTGGATGCGGAGTGAATTCCAATATTGAAGTGCAAATCTAACTTTCGTGAAATATTTTTCCAACACTTTGAATCGAAATTGCAGTAAAAAAGCTGGATTCCTAAGCATGTTCTTATGACATACCAAGTGTTTCTTTTGGCCAGCTTGATGTTGGTGTGGTGCTTCATGGTTGTCTTAAGGCAATGCAGAGACTGATTTTTTTATGTACATGATTCGGTGAAAAGTGCTATTTTCTCCTCTCCTCTTTCAACTTCTGTTGAAGCCTAACTGATGTGGTGAACAAGGGTGTGCTCTCTTCGAGTCCGGAGTTACAAATCTGCCTCGTAAACATCAATATATAAGAACGTCTGAAATTTTGGATGATAAAAATCATCGGCGTCTGATTTAGCAGACTTCCTGCCAAATTGAGCCCCCACCTCTGCCACATTTATCGTCTACAGGTTGGAACCAGCGTTTCCTTGAGTCAATACATTCAAGAACATAGCAGAGTTTGTAGAGGCAGCTTTGCTGCAATACAAGAATGTGATGGGGTAAAGAATATTAAAAATTTCAAGGGGCCACTGCCAATCTGACAATGATTGTGTCTTTGGAATACTAAAATTACAGTGTGAAATGAATAGAATAGGAAACACTATTAGAAAAATATTCGAAATTTTGAATATTTGTGCACTCTCTAGTAACACTTGTTGCTGGGATAGTTAGGTTATAATACAGGAAAGTGGCACAACATGGGACAAAGACAAGACGGGTGAACAAGTACTAGTGCACAACTAATTCAATAAAACACTCAGTATGAATAAACATGTGCTAAGGGTCAATATTAAAAGCGATCGTGCAAAAATATTGATGGTAGCACACCTACTGCTGAACATTTAATAAAATAAGCCTCAGCTCACTGTGAGTGCAAAGAGCGGCGCGCAGTATGGACTAGAAAAGAGAACAACACTGGTGCACTCTTCTCTGTTCCGTACTGCGCTCGCTTTTTGCATTCGCACTGGACGGTTATCAACTAGTGGCTGTATTGACTCAGCTACATTGAGTTAACTCAGCATGACCCTCAGTTAACTCATGCATCATGTTTCATATATTTCACTGTAGTTTTCTATTCCACCTAGGATACCGACACATGAGTTCCTGTCACTCAATTGATGTGTGTCGAGAAAAACACAGTCTCAGAATCAGTGAAGGTGCCTTTTTGGGCGGGCTGTACTTTCTAGAAGGAAGGCATCGAAAGTGTGCCAAAAGAAGAACCGGCTTGAAAGCGTTGAGAACTATCTCATCAAGGGGAGGGACCTTTTAGTCAGAGACGCTAAGTAAGACACAAGCACGGCTCATGGCAACAACAGGAAGCCCCATTATTCTGAAATGCCCCCCTGCTATATACCCCACATGAGGTGGCACGTGAATGCTCCCAGCACCATCCATTAGAGGATCAACATAGCACTCAGCGTCCACTACACCTTCTCCTTCTGATGTTAGATAAGCAGGATGGTATCGTGGTCATGACGTTAGGAACCTTTGGTGTAAAGGCAGCCCAGGCCTTGGACGAGAACTTCACTCGACAGGTAAAATCAAGGGCGATTTCCTTGTGCAAAGATCTTGGCTTGAATAAGCTTGCAAAGGGGACTCTAAAGAAAAAAGCCTCGGCTTTTTTTTTTCACAGGTAAGACACGTAAATCTGGAACTCCATTTAGGTGCAGTGTCAGTGAGAATGGGTCTTAGCAGAGGGCAAGCCGGTCCCTCGAGGATAGACAATGCAGCCTCTTTCCAAGAGGCTTCACCCATTCCAAGAGGCGTCGTCCACCTTGTGACCGGTGCGCGCTATTCCCCCTTCCCGGCTTGCAGAACAGGCTGCCCTCCTTCAACGGGGGAATCAACTTTTGCTGGGAACAGGTAAACTGGAGAAAACAAAACCAGCGCACAGACAGCGATACAGGCTCTCTCGTACCAGCAAGTGGCTACCAATGTTCTACCTACGAGACCCCTGTGAGCTATGCCCATCGACCAAAGAAATGAGCGTTGCCTTTGTTCTCCTCATAGAGTGGACGATCCCTCTACGCGACATTTATGCGTTATTGCTGTAGTAGCAACAGTGTTTTTGTCGACCTAGCCTGTTGCCTTAATCGCCCGAACCCATTGTAGCTGCAATGAATTGAGCTACATGAGCTACGACGAATTGAGTTATAGCAGCAGGATGCAACAGCCATCTAGCCCCGCGCCTGAAAGTGTCGCTGAAACTTCGCGTTTTGAGTTTCATCGAAAGGTATATAGTTTCGGTTTCATCAGGGCTGTTATCACTTGAGCAGCACATGTGAAGTTTGATTGTAAGGGCACAGTCATGATTGCTGGCATGCCCGCTATGTCGGCAGACATCAGTGCGAATAAACCATTCTACGTGCTGCGCTTTCAGCGGGAAGAGACTCTGCGAAAAGAGCACCTGTATATCTTTTACACCAGCATTTTGTAGAGTTAAGTGATACCGGATCGAAACAAGTTAGCTGCCAGCCTTACTTCATATATTATTACAGTCTGTTGCTGTCACATTCATCACTTCACCCTTAGGGTGAGACTGTGATAACTTGATGACGGCGTTTGGCGGGGGGGGGGGGGGGGGGGAAGAAACGGTGACGGTGCTCACAAGAAGGGGGGGGGGGGGGGTATCACGGAACAGCCTTGCAAAAATAGGCGCACAGGACTGCTCATCAAGCGCACACACGTATTTTCATTCATTTCACCATTGTGCTTCGTTACATGGCGCTTAATGACTCGGTGGTTGACGCTTGCGCATTCATGTTAAAAGACATGGGTGGTTGTACATAGCCAAAGAAGCCACAATTTTACCGCAATGGAAAGCAGTGAATGCCATAGCAACAAATTGTAATGTTATGCAATCTCGGGCGGGCAGCTAAGTGTTTTGCATTTGATCTGACGTAACTCTGCAAAACGTTGGTGTAAAAAAATACATCCATTCCAGCGAGAGCAACGCTTTTCGCACAGTCTATTCACAAAGAGAGTGCAGCACGTAAGCTGCCGCCTAATAGCTGCCGAGTAAGCAATCACGACCGCGCCCTTAGAAGCAAAGTTCATAGTTGCTGTTGGAGCGACCCCCCTACCCTCGTCTTTTCATGCTCGTTGAAGACGATCGGGGCATTTCCTCTCTAGTTCGACCAAGCCTCCCAAGATTAGTGATTTTATTGCATGCACCCACTGAGCGAAGGATATGGGCTGGCTCGTTTGATCTCTGCTTTAGCTGCCATGGTCACCCCCGCTCGCGCATTTTTACCCGTGGGGAACATGCGATACGTGGTAGGATGTTGTCAATTTGGACTTTGTACGGTACTTGACGGCAACGGCAACAGCAAAATCTGTGTCGAGTGTGTTCATTTTGTCAGGAAGGCTTTTTTTTGGCGGTTCATCTCGGTTCTCTTGTCCTCCTCTGGACACCCTCACGTCGCATCGGCTTGGTCGAACAACTCCTCTCTGGTCCGTACAAGATCTCACGCCCGCTGTGTGATGTATGAGATCGCACCAGCCGATGGGTCTTCGCTACGTCACATCTGCAGCGACGTTGTTCACATCGCCATACTCAAGTCTTATATACTGGCCTTAACTGATTCTCCATGATTTGCACTGGGATGGGACGGAGCTAAGCCCGCTGTCAGGGTGATGTACGTTGGGGTAAAGAGAACGAGGCAGCTGGCTTAGACTGGAGCAAGACGACATGACTTATCGCCGCTTGAGCAACAGCTACGATTATCGTTAATATACCAACTCTGCACTCGTGTGCCTGCTCTCTTCACGTAACAATATATTTGCTATCACAATAATAGCCAATTACATAATTTAGCTTGTGTTTGAAAAATGAAGCATTGGAGAAATATTTCTTTACAAGTGCAGTAAAATGAGCTATGTCAGCCCTGAAAACTCTCTCACTGCGCCAAACTTGCTCGAAAAGGAATTTCAAGCTGCTCCAAGCCTGCTACAAAAGACACTTTTGACTGCTCCCAAGCCCATGTACCCTGTTGCACCCCTGGGCTTAGGTTCAAGTTTGAAACACCTGTTGACAACGGGCTTCAATTTTCAGACATATTTTCAAATGGTCTTGACAACCAGGCCTGTTGAAGATACATACCATGTGTGTGTAAGAAGAATTTCTAACCTTTGACTCGGCCCATTCCAAAACAGTATAAGAAGCAATGACTTGTGCATGCTTGGATTTGGCAATTAAGAAATCTTGTTTGCACACTATAAAGGTGAGGTTTGACCAGCAAGTTTTGTGCCTCAATTCTTCTGGTTTTCGCAGTGTCGTGACCGCTTGTGTAGTAGAGACATTGTTAAAGAAGATGGAAGGCAAGAATCGGAGTCCTACAATAGAATTTCAAGAAAAAAAAAAAAAAACACGGTACTTGAAGTTATTCTTCAAGTCTTGTGACCCAATACATGAAACTTTTTCTCTAAATAACTCTTGCTCTGGTCTTTTTTTATACCGGTGTCACACTGGCACTTTTAATTGCGATCAGGGCGATCCGAATGAGTTCTCTTGATCGCGATCACTTTATGACTGCTGCTGCACGGCCCAAGCTAATCCTGTTCAAGCTTGGGTCAAATGAAATGCCCCAGGTGGCATTTGCGTGCCGTAAAACATGCCACTGACAAAACTCGACGTACGGTATTCTATAGAGCCCTTTATCAGCAATGTTATACGTGCAAGAACCGCTCAAACGTCAAAAACTTTGCAGGCCACTGCAATAGTAATTTCATAAATCCATCACTCGATAAAATTTTCCTAGCACTTACCTGTATTGTTGTGTGAGATTCTTAACCTTCGCTTTTTTTTTTTCTGATGGCCCCCGCTCGTAGCCATGTAGTCGCAGCGATTCGTCAATCTCGTTGTATGCACCAGTGTTTTACTTCTGGCACCTCAAGTCTGTTCCAGTCGCATCTGCCAGCGGTCAATTACTGTAAAGATCTCTTCATTCGACCACGAAGTGTGCGTACGTTGCGACGTATAGTCGAAAGGCTTGCGACACTCATAACCAGTTTGTTTCTAGGTGCTCAAACAGCTCCGACGGAGTGAGAGTTGAACTAAGCACTGAAGGCAATGTTCGTCTGCTTGCTGTCTGCTTCTCCCGTAACTACATGCGGTCGATTCGAATCCTAAAATATGCAAAACATTAGACATTGTTTCAATTTAAACAGTTTAGAATTTGCTTTTTTATAAACATCTAGCTGTTTAAAGCATTTTTATCTAACTATGCTCGATTTTTTTGTTTATTGTACTTTCAACAAGCTCAGCTAGGGGGTGCAGATGGCTGCGAAATTGCGATCTCTCAGGCAGATCGCGATAGTCTTGATCCCGATCACGCCTGATCGTGATTAAAAGTGACCATGTAGCAGCACCTAATCTGGATCACGATTAATCCGGATCGACACTGATTGCGATTAAATGTGCCCGTGTCATGCCAATATTAGTTTTTGAACACAGAACTGGGCATGATGAAGGGGTGTGGTTAGAGCTGTGCATGTGAGCAATTTTAGAGCCTGGCCTAGTGACTGCATCGAAGGCTCATCTGAGCCTGACACTGGAGGGCTGCGAGCCCACCTGGCCCGGCTCGAGGGGCAATAATTAGAGCCCAGACCCAGTCCGACTGGACATTATGAACGTTTGCTGAAACTATGTCGTTTTCAATAATGTGGCATTTTAATCAACTTATCAAAGTGAAACATGAACAATATATAATGTGCAATGATTACAACTTGTCATCTAAAATAAGCTGTCCAATGATTCGGGCTAGAGTAAAATGCAGTGCTCCTGCGTCCCATATCCCACACAACTGAAGGTCTCTTCACTGCTCACACTAGTGGCTGGAATCACAAATATAATTTTTGGAAGCATAGCAAACTTGGAATATTTAGACGGTTTGTTCTTCCAGTAGTTTAGAACCTTAAATTTAGAAGAGGGGATCATTCTGTGTAGGGATACTCACAAAGCTCATCATGTGGGGCTTCACCTTTGCATTTAAAATGGCTAAAGGAAAAGAAAACCGAGAAAGGAGGCGGGTGCAATTGCGGAGAAGATCGGTTCTTGATTCAGGCTTTGCGTCTGGAGCCTGAGAAAAAACAATGTGGCCTGGCTCTGGCACACCTCTAGGTGTTAACAAGGTACATGTTTGTGTGTTAGTGCACTTTCGTGTCTCCATAAAATTTAGGGCTGCTAATTTTTCTTACAGGGAGCCAGAACCACGAGCCAGAAAAATGGAAGATTCTGGAGAGCCTGCACGGTGAGTATCTTGCAGCTTATTGCATAATTATTGGCATTCTTTGCCCTTGCACATATAATGCTCGCACAGCTCTAGGATGTTTTTGAGCATCTATTCAACACAGGCACGAAGATATTAAAGAGCGCACCACGAGGAGGTTCAACTGTTAACAACTAGCCTAGCTGTCAATGCTTCCAAGGTGCCTTGTTTTTACAATTTTACTAAGTTGTGATCAGTTCCAGGGATCCCACTATCCTCAGCTCTGGTGTCTTGCATCACTGACAGTCCCTGCGTGTTTTGACATAATGGGAATTATCAGAATTAAGGCACCCACTAATACTTCTCAATACTCACTATCATATGCGAAAAGCCAAGGCGACCAACGTTCACCTCGTCGTGCAAGGCTTGGAGAACTTTTGAACCCAGCGCCGAGAAGGTGCGTGCAGTTTGTTGAAAAGGTATTTAGGGCATGCCACTTTGTAAGCAGAATGAAGACAGTTTCCAAGTATTTCACAAAGCTTCATAATTCTGGGTTGCTCCGCTACTGCATGGTGAAGTCATGTGTGCTCAGGGTTTCTAGGAAGGCACCTTCATTCAACCCGTATTGTGGGTGAGAAAAGGTTTGGGAAAAGCATTTGGCATCTATGTCGAATTTTTAAGTCTCCACCATGCGAGCTGACCTGAGGGGTTTGCCAGCCAGCATAAGGCCTGCTATATAGGTTGGCACAAAGTTTGGATGTAGCCCAAGTGATGGCTAAGCGTTCCTTCTCTGTTTGGAATGGTTGTCATTGGCTCTAAGTAGTGACTGGCTATCATAGGCAATGACCTTTTCAAGGTTATCCCTTCTCTGTACACAGCTTGCATCAGTGTGAATACCGGTTTTGGCTTGTTTGCAGGCTTTGTTCTAGCTCCTCAAATTATTCTATTTGTGGTGTGTCCCACGTGATATTGACGCCAGATTTTATTACAACTGTTATTGGTAGGTTGGTGTGGGAGAATATTTTGAAAAAGCATAAATAATAGACACAGAGACCAAGAAATCGGTGCACTGCTTTCTTGTCCACAGACTGAGGGAAGTTTACAATGGCTGGGAAAACTCCAGACTGGCTGATAATGTGTCACAGGAAGAGCAGTTCTTCGCGCAAAGCATGGCTTTTCTCTTGTTTCAGAGTGAGTCGGGTGGCTTAATGGCTTGTAACACTATTTCCACCTTCCAGAGGTGATCGTCAAAATCACAAAAAAGATGACGAGATCACCCAAGTAGGTGAGACAGGACTGCCATTTCAGGCCCACCAGTACTTTGTAAGTTAAGCGTTGGAATGTCGCAGGCACCAAGCAGACTCCAAACGGTATGACCTTAATCTCAAGCAGACTGTCTGGTGTGATGAAGGTACTTTCTTCTGAATTCCTCAAGTTGACTTCAGTCTGCCAGTAGCCAGTCTTCAAATCCATGAACGAGAAATGCCTCATGCTACAGATCTTGTCCAACGTGTTGTCTGTACATAGAAGGGGGTGGTAATCTTTCTTCGTAACTTTGTTCAAATGATGGCAGAGTCCAAATAGCATCACCTTAATCTCAAGCAGGCTGTCTGGCGTGAGGAAGGTACTTTTTTTTTATTCCTCAAGTTGACTTAGTCTGCCAATAGCCAGTCTTCAAATCTATGAACGAAAAATACCTCATGCTACAGAGCTTGTCCAACATGTCTGTACATGAAAGGGGGTGTTAATCTTCCTTCGTAACTTTGTTTAAATGATGGTAATTAACACAGAGCCGCAGGGATTGATTCTTCTTTACTTATGGTACTGGTAATGCTCACAGACTCTTGGACGGCTATGGGATTTGACAACGTAGCATCCTGACCTGTTGCTTTATGGTGTTGCATTCGCGTACAGAAACTTGGTATGGCATATCAAAGTGTGGAAGGGCACATTTTTCAATTATATAATGCGGTGCTTTGCAATGAGGTTTCATTGCATTCTTAATGATGACAAGAAGAAGCCTTTGTCTGAAGCAGGAACTACTTAAGGACCAGCTGCCACAATACAATGGCTTCCTCCTGTCGTCGCCAAGAATTTAATGAAGTCTGGAAAGACCTAAGCGGGTATTGAAAGCTGGTTCAGGAACTTGAATTGCTTATTGGGCAGGGGTATATATTCTGCCAGTAGGCCTTGTTGCCTTTGGGCCGCCTGATCATCCAGGAGGGCTTTGGAATGTTCATCTCCGCAGCTTGGCTTTGGTCACAACTTTTTGTAAGCATCCAGAACATGAACGAATCACCACCAGATGTTGACAGTGAAGTTCACAAAATTGTTACAAGTGAAAACTCTAGGCTTGTGCGAATATGCTACAGTATTCTAATTCAGTTTGATTCAAATTTAAATTAGGGGTGCAAAGCCACGAAAGCGTCTGTTCATTCATATATTAGTTCGTATGTAACCCTCCCTGTAAGAATGAAGGAAAGAAGTTGTGGGAATTGAGGCTAGCCCGCTGGCTTTGCGCGGGCTTTGCCGCCTTTTCTGCCATTCTCATGTCCCGACATGTCTGCCCTCCTTTGCTGTCTGCCACGCTGGGAGAGTGGAGTGACGTTTAACTCCCTCACCCGGTAGCGGATGTTGACTGTGGTGCCGCGCGCGGAGTCTCCCGAGAGGCTTTCGCGCGCTGCGTCAGGAGCGGACAGATACTCTCCGGGACTGCAAACGGTGAGCCGCGCAATCTTTTCTGTCCGTCGACTCTTGTCGCTCGGGGCTCGTCGGGCTTTGCTGACGGCGCCTCGCGCCCGAGGCGAACGCTCACTTTTTGCTGCCTCACTGCGTACGCACGGTTGAACGAAGGGCAGCACGGTGTCCTAGTGCGTGGCCTAGCTACGCCGACCCGTCTCCCTCCGAAGCCAACGCGAGCGCCTTTGCCCTCGCTCGAGCAACCGGGCCTTGGTCCCGGTGTCTCCGTGGATCACCTTTACCGCGGAGACGTGCTCGTAGCACCCTGTGTAGTACTTTTATGCCCGTGGCGTGGATAAGCCTATTTGCTTTCCCGCCGCGCCTTTGCAACGGGCTGTGCTGCGTTTAGTGTTGCCACAGACAACAAAGTGTTGTGACTTTGAGCAGTATCGTGTTCTCGCCACGGCGACAGTTAACGCGTGCCCTGCGGCTCGCTAAGACCGGACCCACGCTGGTGGCCGTACTCCTTCGGGATACGTGTACACCACAGAGTGGAAATTTAAAGGCTCATTTTCTTCATTAGACCCAACATTAATGAGAACTATGTAATTATTTTCTACGTGTCTATGTATTTGTTAGTTTTCATTAATATTGATAATGTCTAGGTGGTTTTGCTGCAGCAAAGTAGTGAAAAACCGTGATACTGTAAACTCAAGGAAAGCCTAACTTTAAGGTTAAGTGAAGATATTACTCGCTTATCGATTCATTTTAAATTCTAAGCCTTTATTTGCGTATTGCAGGCACTCGGAGCTTTTCTGTGTGTCTCTGGCTGGCTGGCTTGGCTTTGATTTACTTTGCTTGCCTGCGTACTTTCACCTTACAAACGCAAGAAATAAATGTCAGGGTCCCAGCTGGAATCGAACCCAATTATTCTGCATGGCAAACAAGTGTTGGTATCACAATGCCATGTCGGGTTTCAGAACTGCTTTTAAAATTTACTACAATGTTCTTGAAACGTCAATTGTGGTTGCAGTGCTAGCTGTATAATTTTATATACGTTACATATGTACTCCTATAATACAGCCGTCACGTCAGGATGACGTCTATTATAGTTAAGGCGCCATTTACTGAAGTTGACTAATGTAGCGCCGCTGCCAACCATCCTCGAGAGCGCTACGTATCAACTTACCGCTACTGGTATTGCTATACCCATGTTGCTGATGTCATCGTTATGCAACTGTACACAACCGGTAATATAAAAGCATATGGAACTGTTCAACATATGTCTGTCTGTAAAACACTTGGTACATATCTCTAGCATTATTTCGTAACATTTCACTCCCCCGCATGCTTGGCATACCTTTGATTCTCAACGCACGTGGGATTTGCCAAATTTTCTTGTTTTACTGGCTTATAAGCTCTAAGTATAGAAAATTTCAAAATGTAACATATTTTATAAGTTATCACTTGCATTCTACCGAAAGTGAAACTTTTCTGCTGTTTAATGTTGGTTCCCTTTTTTTTTTAAGGAAAAAAAAAGGGGGGGGGGGGGCATTTGCACAGGCTTTATTTCAGTTCTTTTTGAAATATGATGCGAGACAAATATGCCCATTTTTCTTAATAATGTGTGACTATTATTCAAATACAATGAAAAATTAATAAACAAATCACTATTCATTTCAAATTCACTTTGAATTTAAAATTCACTATTTGCACAAGCCTAGGAAACTACAAAGTGGACATCTGGGCATTTTGGTATTCCATCTTTATGAACATGAGATGGTTCTGGATGCAGGGTTGCTCCAGCCTTTAGTAGTCTTAATGGTTGAATGCATCTTGAGGGACTGCAAAAATGAAACCCATACTGCTACGAAAAAAATTGTTCAAGGGTATAACGTAGAACCAGTAAAGCCATCCGGACCAGTAAAGTTCCAAGAGTTCTAAAACAGTGTGCTCATTCAATTTCACTGTAGCTTTATCTAATCTTTGAAAATTCGTTATGTTCTGGTCGGTTGCCAAAGATTGGAAAGTAGCAAATATAGTCCCAATTCATAAAGGAGGTTCCAAGAAAGACGTGGTAATCTAGGCTAGCCCGCTGCCTTTGCGCAGACTTTGCCGCCTCTTTCTGCCCGACATTTAAATGTCACTCCCCACTCCCCAGCGCGGCAGATCGTGGAGGAGGGGAGGCATGTCCCGACATGCCTCCCCTCCTCCACGATCTGCCGCGCTGGGGAGTGGGGAGTGACATTTAATCTCTCTCACCCGGTAGCGGATGTCGACAGCGGTTGAGTGAACGAAGTCTCTCGTGACATTTCTTGCACGCATCGGGATTGAGTGAGATGTCTCCAGGACAACATACGGTGAGCACGCATTTCTTTTTCATCCCTCGACTCCTATTGTTTGGGTATTGTCGGACTTCGCCAACAGCGCCTTGCGTTCGTGGCAAACACTCACCTTTTGTCACCCCTTTCGAACGCTAGGATGAAGAGCGGTGCAGTGTCCTAGTGTGTGGTCATATTACACCGACCCGTACCTCTCGGAAGCCAAAGCGAGCGAAGTTTTTGCCCTCGCTCGAGCGACTGGGCCCTGTTGTCCCTGTGTCACCATGAATCACTTTTGCCCACGAAGAAGTGCTCGTGGCACTCTGTGTAGTACTTCTCACTCGTGGCGTGGATAAGCCCATTTGCTTTGCCACCGCACCTTTTGCAACGAGCTATGTACTGCGTTTTGGTGTTGCTGCAGACAATGAAGTGTTGGAACTTTGAGCAGTACCGTGTTCTCGCCACGGTGACGGTTAACGTGCTCATTGCGGTTCACTAAGACTGGACCCACGCTAGTAGCCATACTCCTTTGGGATACGTGTACACTACAACGTCTCGAATTGTAGACCTATTTCGCTTACATCGATATTATGTAAGAATATTAAACGTATAATATAGAAGGCTATAATGAAGCATTAATAGATCATAATTTTTCAACAAAAAAACGGCACGGCTTTCGTAAAGGCTTTTTATGTATGATGCAGCTTCTTGAGTTTTTTAATGACCTAGCATCAGCAATAGACTTGGGTGGGCAAACAAATTGCATCGATTACAGCAAGGCCTTCGACACTGTCTCCCATCCTCTGCTTCTTGGAAAATTAAGAGTGCTAAATGTAAATGAAAAATTCATAATTGGATTGAAAATTACTTGTTCAATGCCGCCAATGTGTTGTTTTGAATGTTTTGAAAAATCAGATTCTTGAGGTCACATGAGCCGTCCCCCAGGGGTCTGTGCTGGGGTCTCTGTTATCATTTTTATTAATGACATTAATGCAGGAATAGGCTCCAATATACGGCTATTTGCAGATGATTGCGGTATTTACAGAAAAATCCGAAATGAATGTGATGTCAATTAATTACAGACTGACCTTGAATGTATTAATCAATGGTGTCTTAAGTGGCAAATGAATTTAAATACTAACAAGTGCATTCATGTGTGTTTCTCAAACAAGAAAAAAATAATTACTGGTAACTATTATTTAAGGGTAAACATTTTAGATAGTGTGGTGTACACGTATCCCGAAGGAGTACGGCCACCAGCGTGGGTCCGGTCTTAGCGAGCCGCAGGGCACGCGTTAACCGTCGCCGTGGCGAGAACACGATACTGCTCCAAGTCGCAACACTTTATTGTGGCAACACCAAACGCAGTACAGCCCATTGCAAAGGCACGACGGGAAAGCAAATAGGCTTATCCACGCCACGGGCATAAAAGTACTACACAGGGTGCCACGAGCACGTCTCCGCGGTAAAGGTGATCCACAGAGACACCGGGACCGAGGCCCGGTTGCTCGAGCGAGGGCAAAGGCGCTCGCGTTGGCTTCGGAGGGAGACGGGTCGGCGTAGCTAGGCCACGCACTAAGACACCGTGCCGCCCTTTGTTCGGCCGTGCGTACGCAGTGGGGCAACAAAAGGTGAGCGTTCTCCTTGGGCGCAAGGCGCCGTCAGCGAAGTCCGATGAGCCCCGAGCGACGGGAGTCGACGGACTGAAAAGATTGCGCGGCTCACCGTTTGCAGTCCCGGAGAGTATCTGTCCGCTCCTGACGCAGGGCGCGAAAACCTCTCGGGAGACTCCGCGCACGGCGCCACAGTCAACATCCGATACCGGGTGAGGGAGTTAAACGTCACTCCGCTCTCCCACCACAGCAGACAGCAAAGGAGGGCAGACATGCCGGGACATGATAACGGCAGAAAAGGCGGCAAAGCCCGCGCAAAGGCAGCGGCCTAGCCTCAATTCCCACAATAGAAAACATCGGTACAAAAAATATTTGGGTTTATTATTGTGGCATGATTGTTCCTGGAATGCGCATGTGGAATATGTGGTTACAAAGGCTGCGGTGGCATTGAACTATATTCAAAGGAATTTGAGATGTGCAGATTATCAGCTTAGGAGAACGACTTATCTCACCTGTATTCGACCAATTTTAGAATATGCTGGTAATCTTTGGGATCCGTCACAAGTAGGCTTGATTAATAAATTCAAAAAATTCAAATTATATAAGCCAGATTTGTCTTGGGTCGGTATGGAATAAATTACAGTTGTACCGAAATTAAAAAGAAATTGAACTGGGAGCCACTTTCATCACGACGTAAAAAATTACGTTTGAAGTTGTTTTATCGGATATTTCATAATAAAACAAATTAAAAAAGACACCTATTTAATACAGCCAGAGTACATATCTGAACGTATAGATAATATACAAAAAATAAGGCCATCTGGGCCTGGGCGAACATGTAAGCGAATTCGTTTTTGTCAAAACCATTAACGAGTGGAATGGTCTGCTCTCTGGGCAAGCGTGCAGTAACAACGAAGATGTGTTTTTTTTTTTGTTTTTTTTTTCATGTTTTTAACCCCCCTGCTGTAACGCCTCTAGGCAAAGCAGGGTTATGTATGAGTAAAAGAATAAAGAGAAATATGTACCTTACGTACACGGGGTTTCGCATTATCTGAAAAAGCTTGCTCAGTAGACCAATGTGCAGGTGCATTTTTCAGTGCCAAACAAGTTGGAAAGGCTGTACAGGAACACGACGAGAAATGCAAATGAAAATTTGGGGTGCAAAGTAAATCACATAAACAGGTTTGTTCATTGCGCTGAGTATGTGGTGTATTGCCTGCCGCTGTCCTTTGGCTGCAGCTACGTCGGACAAACCGGTCATTGCCTAAACGAATGGCTGTTGGAACACCATTACAATGTTAGAAATAGGGTGGGTGGTTTTTTAGCAGTGCATTGTAAGAAGGGCAGTTGCTTTCCTTTGTTTGACACGTGCAGAATTCTGGCAAGAAATAGAAATCAGCCTACACATGAGATTATACAAGCAGGGGAGATTGAAGAGATGGGTGTATCAGCATACCCTCTATCGCGCTGACACAAAAAGAATTGAATTTTCTTGGTGTCCGTTGATCATGTTTTGACCTATAACTAGCCTCGGTATCAGAAAATAAAACTGTTGAAAGTGGCGCTGTGTGTTGTGCATGTGAATGTGTGTTTCCACAAAGATATTGACGTCTTAGTGAAAAAGATGCACACACAATTGCCTCTATCGCAAAGCATTGCTGTGATAAAATGCGAAGCTGAGTAATATGAAGTCAACATGGAGTTTGTAAATTTACTGAAAATTGAGTGTGGTCTTGGTACTTAGACTAGGTGCACACTGAAGAAGGTCAGGTAGTTGAAATTTCAGACCCTTCAACATAGTCTGCCTCATGGTCATATCGTGGTTTTGGTTCATAAAATCCCATATATTTTTACTATTATTAGCCTGGCCATGCATGCAACTTTCTGAAATTCATTTTATAAATCTACTCGTAATATTTGTTAACATATTGTGAAAATCAATAACTTTGGCAGAACCGGCAATTTCGCAGCTAATGTCTTTTCATACCTGTGATTAACTGAGGCATCTGTGGTTTGCACTGAAGTCGTACAAGGATTGTAGGAACCAAGCTCTATAGAGCAGCAAAAAAAGAAAAAAATATAAACCTATATTTTGAGTAGCTAAACAAAAACATTGTGTTGCCCATTATCCAGAATATTCGTTCTCTTATTTGAATGACAGATTAGATGTTTGTTTTTATGTAGGCCAGCTGTTCAAGAGGAGCTACCACATGCTTCCGAGAAAGAATATACAACTAGCAAGCCAGCTGGTGAGTCGGAATGGTCGAGATTTGCCCCTGTTTCACTGCAACTTATATTCAGGGTGAAGCAAGTGTGGCTTAGCAGTAAAGTCAAAGGACGGTACATTTTTCATCCTTATACCTGCTCTACATTCAAGCCCTTTTTTTGTCAAGTGAAATTCGACTGCAGAGAAAATTTCAATCAAGTTTTTGTTCTATGCTTACACGAAATGTTACTGAACAAAATATATAAAGCTCTGTAACAATTTTTTGCATTATTTCACTATGTTTGCATTACAGTTTAAAAATTTGCATAATAATTCTGTTACACTAAACTTCAATGTGACTTACATTTGAGTCATTTGACAAGGAAAGTCTGTTTTACCTGGACATGCTGCTTGTTGTTGAAAAGCAGCTGTTCACACCATTTCTGTGCAAAGCCACTGTAAGAACGGCAACTCATTGATTTGTCAAGTCACTTCATTCAACAGACGAATGGCTAAGGATGTTGAGAGGTGCCTGTCAAGAGAACATATGCTTTGTATTCTTCCGTGCAATTTTTCAACACGTCTATTTTCTGTGCAGACTAAAACATTCAATATCATTTTATCTGTGGCAAATGTTATTGTTGTGAATGATTTCTATAATTTGGTGAACAGCTTTGCATGATTTACAGGATGCATAACAGACAGCGTCTGCTTTTTCTGCAGGAGATGGCAAAGGAAGGAGATCACCAGTGCTTAACGCTGACGATCCTGCCCACACTGCAAAGGGTGCCGTTGCCGCCACAGAAAAGGACAAAAAGCCAGAACCTCCTGGCAATGAGGCCACTGGCAAGAGTGCCGGCCCCGCTGTGCATGAGGGGACAAAAGCTCATCCTGCGGCTCACAATATGAGTGCCGGCAAGGCATCAGATAAGCACAAGCCAACAAGGGCTAGACATCCCTCTTCTCCCAGTGGAAACAAAGAGTCGGCCATGCCGGCTGGTGAAGCATTGCATCACTTACAGTCTAAGCACGAGTCACACTTGCCTGCTGCTGCCGCTAAGATTAACGGACCATCATCACAGACTGCCCCAAAATCTGCCAGTGACACTGTCGTCAAGAGCAAGATGGGTTCACAAGATGAAGGGACCTACCAAAGCCACCTCAGCTCGTACCAAAACGCAAAGCATGAGAGAGGCACTGGAACAAGTTTATGGAATGATGTTAGCCTTTTCTCAAGGAAAGAGGATGACAGTGGATCAGCAGCAAAAAAGAATGATGATGACTGTGGAGGCCCGTTGCTTGCTAGTAGCAGCATCCCTGTCATTCAGCCTGTGGTACAACCCTTGTTCAGTCTGTACAGCTCTCCCTACAGCTCAATCTGTGGTTCGGCAAACAATGTCTCGGGCCAGCCGCCTGCAGGGCCTTATGCATTTGGCCCCAGCTACCCCAGCTACCATGCAGGACCATTTTACCCAGGCTGTTTGCAACGACCGCAATTGGGATACAACAAGCCACGGATGCTTCTCTACGGTAGAACCACACAGAGGCAAAAATCGCCGTGTTTGAGAAATGCACCTTGTCTGGAAGAGTTGGACATGGATCACTCAAGGGCAGCCAGAAAAAGGAAGAGTTTATCTCAAAGCACTAATGACAAGTCGCACGATTCACCCTAACAAGGAGAGTTGAGAATAGGGCAGACAAGAAAACCTTCTCATTGAGATGGAACAGCGGCCAAAAAAAAAAAGATTAGGAGATCGTACCTCAACACTCAAGGTGGGTGAGCATTGCCTGAAGACAGCATCAGATTCGGGTGGGCAGGGTTTTAACAAATTGTTCTGGACCGAAGACTTGCTTTGAGCAACATGTTTGCACTTTTGTCTTGGCTGTTGGTGCCACTAAACTTCCGCATGCTCAGTAGCAGATATCCGAGCAGCCTATGCAAATTTACTTGCTGAAAATTGTTGACATTCTTTAATTATAGTGTTGTAGCAACCAAAAATGAAGAAGGTTGTGCTTGCAAAGTGTTGCTTTGTCTTTCCACTATGTAAATTGGCCCATTATTTAGAACGGTTTATTACTTTGACAAAGGGACCAGACGAGTGCATCAGAGCTGCATAAAATGAAAGGGTATCACATCTTCGCTGGTGTCAACTCTGCAATGAAGTTGCTACTCAATCTGTGTTTGTAGTGTATAAATTCTGTACTAAAGTCAGTTCACATCCCAGCCATTTTGGGGACCATGTCAAATGTATTTGAAAATTTACTGCATTAAAAACAGTGAAACGGTAAAATTTTTTGGTCACGTGGCTGCTTTCTGAACTTCCTGGAATGCCGTTTGGGTGTTGTTGGTGTAAAAACCCATTATAAATGTGCCGCTCCTTCTTTCTATACCAAGTTTGTTCTACTTGTGTAGAGGTTCTTGTGTAATATGTTTGAAGCTCGGTAATATCAGTGCAATTTTATTGGCACATAGGCCAGAGAAAAGTGCATTTCCATTGAGTTCTCCTGTGCGAATTGCATTGATGTACAGCCAGGACAGGTGTCATTAATGTATTTGGGTATAATATACACTGTAAATCTTAGTTGGAGTTCGCATATTGCGTCTAAGGGATTACGTTCGATTTGGTTGCTCAAGCACATCAACAATGGTCGATTTGGAATGCGTAGAAGAGCTGCACGTGAACAATGGTCGATTTGAAATGCGTAGAAGAGCTTTGTTGATGAGATATCGCATGTATGTCTGCCCAATATTAGAGTTTGGATGTGTGTTGTTCTGTGCAAGACCTACTTATAAATTACGTCCTCTTCTTTCTATAGAGCGTGAGGCATTGCACATATGTTTAGGCCTCCCTAAATTTGTCGCTAATAATGTTCTTTATTATGAAGCATATCTGCCCCCTCTATAACCCAGGTTTCGCATATTAAATGTTCAAACATTTCTAAACATCTATGCCTCCCAACAGAGACACTCCCCATATGTATTTAGAAGCGATCTATCAATATATTTTAATTGTGAGTGGTCTCGGCTATATCGACCTCAAATAGTGGATGTGCAAAAGCTCTTAGAGCCATTAGGGGCGAAAATCAGGGAGGTGAGTTTCTCACAGGTACAGATCCAATGGTAAGAATAGAGTTTGACAATATATTTAAATAAAATCCTAAACTTTAGTTGATCAAATATTTGAACGTGTTGCTTGAATACCACCTTAATGGCCTACAGATAAGTTCAGTTATAGCACGGATGCTGCCGTTAACACCGAGAAAGCAGGAATGGGCATCTACTCCACAGCATTAGATTGGTCTTACTCATTGCGACTGCCCCATTTTACGCCGATATCCCAGGCAGAATTAATGGCAGTGATTCTGGGCATACTCAAGCTCCCAACATATATCTCTTCGGTTGTTATACTGACCGATGTTTTGTCTGTTTGCACTGCTCTGAGAGTACCAAAGACGTTGTCAGGTCACACTGGGCTAAGACTAAATGAAGCGCGGACGCACTGGTGGCAGCATCGCTTCAGGGCCCCGTCCTGAATATTCTAACGCCCTGCTGCCTATATACAATCGCGCGATTTATAAATTTCTGTGTGTGGCAGGAACACACCAACTCTTCTGTTCTATATGGTGCAGGTTTCGAGCACCTTAAGTTTCAGTGGTACAGCTCATGGTGTGCAACAAGACTAATTGCACAAAAAAGAAGTTAACTTCTTTGGCGCAAACAATACGGAAAAAAGGAAAAAAGAAGGCGAGGAAAGAAACAGATTGACGCCAATATTTCTTTCCTCGCCTTCTTTCTTTCCTCGCCTTCTTTTTTCCTTTTTTCCGTATTGTTTGCGCCAAAGAAGTTAACTTCTTTTTTGTGCTATGTACCAACTAGACCCAACGCAAGTTTTACTGAACAAGACTAATTGAAGTGACATTTACTACATTGCGATACAGGATTCCACCCTTTAAGCTTTTATTTAAACAGACCTGGCTTTGTTTCTTTCCCCTATTGTTACTATTGTACACAAACAGAAACTGTAGAGCACTTTTTCGCAGAATGCCCCAGGTATCAAAATTTAAGGCTATAATTTCTAACACCAGCTTTCCAAAAACACCGGCTTGAGCTGTCTGAAACGGTACTACTCTCCCTAGTGGCTTCGGCACTAGGTTATTGCAACAGGGACATATATGGAGCAAGTATATAACTATATAAAAGAATCGAAACGGCTACCATGCTAATCTTATAAGTACATACTCATTACTTATTTTCGTCATTAGTCTATTCCATATATTCTACACTATCATTTTTATTTGTTTTTTTATATAACAATTCATAATAGTCTGTTAGCACAACTAAGCTTTTCGTCTAAAAAACAATTTCAGGCATCCCCCTTTTTTTCTCCCCAAAATCTCCACTGCCGCCCGATTCATGGCCGATCCCCCAAGATGGGTTGAGCCATTCCTATTGGATCCAACTAACCAGCTTCCGGCGGCAGCCGCCAACGACTTGGGTGCAGACCGCTGAGAAAAAGAACAGGTTTTCCTCGAAAGACAGTGACAGGACGTCACCAACTGATTTATTTACAACTATGTACCTGTAATGATGGATAGATGGATGAACGGTTGAATTGATATGGCTGTACACTTTAGATCGGGCAGTGGCTAACGCCACCTAGCCGTAATACTTAGTGAACCAAAAACTAGATTTATCTTTTTCTTCCCTTTAAATAGTGAAGTGGAGGACTGGCATTTGCAGTGACAGATTTATTTTTCACTCGAGCCTTGATTTTAGCTGCCAATCAGATAACCTCCTTCTCTGTGCCATCATTTTGAACTATAGAGTGAAGCCCTTTACAGAACATTATGAAGTGTTCCGCAGTTTTCTCAGCCTCTCCACACGCACCGCATACCCTGTCTACCCCTTCGTATTCGGCCCGATAATTCTTGGTTCGCAATACTCTCGTCCTGGCCTCAAACAGTTGCAACTACCCCGAGTATTATCATAGATCCTTTCCTTGGCAATTTTCTGCTTATAAGTTTGATAGATCTCTACTGGGGACTTCTTAATCATGCCAATTCTCCACATGTCAGTCTTCGTTTCCTTCACCTTCTTAACCGGTAGTTCTTTTTGGTTTGGCCCACTGCTGTTTGCTAAGTATTTACCCGTAAATTTTCTAGTTCGCTTCCTCCATTTTGTATCAAGATTCCTCATGTACAAATTGCTCAAAACCTTCCTAGCCCAATGCTCCTCCCCCATTTCCCTCAATCGCTCCTCAAATATTATCTTGCTACTAGCTTCCCTGCCCCCGAATGATGTCTATCCCATATTGCCTGGTACTCCCTGATTTGGTGTACTCCTGCGAGCTCCTAAAGCAAGCCTACCTATTTCACGTTGCTCAATTTTTAATCTTGCTTGAGCCTGTGATCCCATGCGCAAGACCGCATTGCCGAACGCCAGACCTGGAACCATGACCTCTTTCCATATTTCTCACAACATCATACCTATCGTAGTTCCACAGAGCCCTATTTTGATCACCACTGCATTTCTGTTACCTTTGGTCGATACGTATATTTCCTGTACCCTTAGGTTCTCTGTCCCATTACTTATCCATATGCCCGGATATTTGTATTTATCCACTATTTCTAGCGTGACGTCCTGTGTCTTAGGCTCACTGCCTTTGTTATCATTAAAAATCATTATTGCCGATTTTTTCTTACTGAACTTGAAATTTAACTTATCTCCCTTATTACCACAGATGTCTATCAATCCCTGCAGATCTTCCTAGCAGATCTGCAGGAATTGCAGATCTTCCTGCAGATCTGCAGGAAGATGGCAGGGTCGCAGCGCCCCCTTCAAAAGAGTGGCGAGAGGCTTGTACTACTCTCGTTTGTGAAGGCTGTAGGGGAGCCCGCAGGTACACTCAATCCCGGCCGTGGCCTAGTGTGCTGTAGGACAGCGGCAGTTAGTTTACTTTCATTTACTTTGCGCCGTAAGCTTGGGGAGGTACGTCAGTAGTTGGCAGGCAGCATTGCTTGGATGCCACTCAGTAGAAGCGTGTCGGACTGGATTTGCCGTGACCGCACAGGCAGTATGGCGCCAGCATGGTACTTCGCGCAGTTTTGCAGCGCCGGACACGGCCGAGCTTTTCGAGTTCCTGTTAAGTCAGGAAAAACAAACCGACCCCCACGTGGGCAACAGGGATTAAAAATGTCATTTTGATGACTGGCAATCAGCGCATCAATGGGCCTCTTCTGAGACTCAGAGTCAATTCGGTTCATCTAAGGCCCTGCCACATGCAGTGTCAGTGCCTCTTCTATAACTCTAGAGGAGGCACTGGCTGTGTTCACGCACGCCGTTTCGAGGCAGCCGCGCGCTATTGGTTCCTCTCTGTAGGTGACGTGCTTGTGACGCACGCCCGCGCCCGCGATGGAATGTGCAGATCCGAGTTTTCGGCTGTTCCATCGTACGGAAGCACCCACAACCTGCCGCCACACTCTTTCTCTACCTTTTCTTTCTGCCTTTCGGCGTCCCTCTTTCCCTCTTCCTGTAAGAGCTTAGCTGAACCGTGCTACCCGCAAGAGTTGCAAAAGAATGGCTGTTGTTTTTCTTTCTTTTATTCAATTAACCACTACTACATACGCGACACTGCTGGTGTGGTCGAGGTAAGGTCCCTAAAAACATCTAGGGACCTTAGGTCGACGCTAATGTGCGAATTAAAATTCGAACTTACCATCGAAGTAACGTTCGGTCACGTGCATCGTGCTTCTGTCACACACTGTACCAGTTCCAACTGCCCCTGCAGAAACGCGATTCCGACTATCACGGCAGACGCCCAGACACTCGCGTCTGAATTAGACGCCAGCACATCAAACGTGAAGTCCGTTTCGCTCAACGACGCGGTTCCAAATTACATGGCAGCCACGTGCACATTTACATGCGAAATAGAGACCAGTTCAGCCGGCCCATCTGACGTGAAGTGCCTCCTCGTCGACCTCTGCTTGGACGGATGTGCACGAGTGGCTCGCCAGCTACAGCAAGGCAACTTATAGGACGATCCACGACCTATTAGTTGCGTGCTGCTGTCTGTGCTGAAGGCGTCGCGGAGGCACTTCACGTTGACAGGCGGAACCTCTTTGCTCATTGAAACCATCACTGTGCTAGTGCCATCTTATCGAAACCCACTCGCTCGCACCCTCGCCGCACGGTAGCGATCCATCCAAGGCACCGAAGGGGCGAGGGTGCT